AATATGACTCAAAATTTGTCGAAAATACTAAAACTTGTCACAATACTTGATGATTAATTACAGTTTTGATGATTGGTTGTTTGGTTGTTTGGTTGGTTGGTCGCTTGGTCGCTTGGTCGCTTGGTCGTTTGGTTGCTTGGATGGTTGGTTGGTCGGTTGGTCAGTTGGTTGGTCAGTTGCGTTGATGAATAAGTAGAGTCTGTCGTAACAGATACAACAAGTTCTCATAAAGTTGTATTCAAAATAATCATTAAATTGTCTGGTCAGGACACACTGAATAAAAAGGTAAAGAAGAAAATACACAGATAACATGATTTATTGTAGCATCAATGATATATTCACTGAAGTCGCTCCACAATAAACCTAATTACATCCTAATTAAATACAATCAGCATGAGTTCCCAGCATTCACGTGTTCATCAGGAAACCAGCTGCAGCACTGAAACTGTTCCAGGCTTTCTGATAATTAGCTCCCTTCATTTGCAGATCAATAAAAATCCTACATTTAGGTTTTTCCTGAAGTCAAAAGGCTCAGTGTGCAGAAACACGTATGACTGGATGATGAACACGGAGTCATTCATGTTTTCATCAGGTTGCAGCTGCTGAAGGCCATTCAACTGCTTTCTGTTTGTCCACTTCTAAAGACGTCTGACTGTTGTTCAGACACCGGTTCTGTCCTTAACGCTGACCTGCTTCACATTCATTCATTTTCAGCAGATATAGTTTTGAAGTTTGAGCACAAAGTGTTTTCCAGGTTCACGAGTGAAACGTTTATCTTCTGTAAAAATACTGAGTTTAGAAACATGAAGTATGTGTGTGCAGCAAAACACATATAAATCAGTGAAATGTGAAAAAACTTCTGTAAAACGGGTCAAATTTAAGTTCTGGAAATAAACCACACGTACAAATAAAACAACGATGCAAATATTAAAGTATATAAAAGCATAGCTCTACCATTAATGCACTTAAAGACGAAAATATTGATCTTTTTCAGGTTCTTTACAACATGATGGTTAAAGTCTGACCTCAGAACATCTGGTTCTGTATCTGCAACACCTTTATCTACTGACCAGAGTTCTACCTTCAGACTGTGAATGTTCCAGAGGTCCAGGTCCTTGAAGTCCACAGAGGAGGGTCCAGATTGATCACTTTAATGGACTTCTTCCATCATATCTGAACCTCAGAACTTCATCAGTGCAGCAGATAGACACATGACATTTAGGAGGAAGAACACATCTGAGTTCTGGTAGAACCTGACACCAGATCAGTTCGGTCAGAACCAGTTCTAGCAGATCAAAGGTCTCATTTTTTCCCATTCATCTTGACAAGAGGCTCGTCTTCTGGCTGTGATTCCTTTTCTCTGGTTTACAGTCACTCTGGAATATTCACAGTCTGAAGGTAGAACTCTGGTGCAGATACAGAACCAGCTGATTGTGAGGAGGTCAGACTTTAACCATCATGTTGTAAAGAACCTCAAAAATATCAATATTGTGTTCTTTAGTGCATGAATAGTAGAGCTATGCTTTCATATACTAATCAGCTGATTCTTATGGGGTCTTTAATAGTTTTGGTTCATTTTGTACAGGACTACTGAGAGAGTTTCTCATGTCTGACATATTTTTGTTGCACTGATAAAATGAGCGTTAATATTTAAGTCCACTGTTACAATATCAAAGTTTTCAGGGTTGTTTTTTTTTTTCCTGTGCCGGTCACATGACAAGAAGCAGGTCATTTAAGGTCAGTTAAATTGGCTATTCCCAAACTTTGATAGATGTTTTATTCTGTTTACTGGCAGCACAATACATCAAATAATACACAACCTGCACATATAAACTGTAGCACTGAGTACATTCACAGGTTTTTCTCTTTTCTAACATTTATTCCTAAAATATGTTCTTCTGTTCATGTTTATTGTTTTTATTGGATTTCTGGAAATCATCTTGAAACCCCTCACATGTGGGAACCAGCTGCTGAAAAAACAGTTCTATGTAACCCTGATGTTCTCAAAAATGTTCCACGTTTACTCAAAACAACTTTAAAATTGTCCAAACATGGTGCAAAATAACTCAGATATGGTCCAGAATGACAAGGTGCTTAATAATGAATAAAATGTTACCCAAAGTGACTGAAATGCTGATAAAAATGACTCAGAACCTGCCGAAAATCACTCAGAATTGGTTGAAAATGACTCAAAACGTGTCCATGTTTATTTAAACTTTGCTCAAAATGACTTTATGTCCAAACATGTTGTAAAAATTTACAAAATGACTCAAAATTGGTCCAAAGTGATGAAAAAAAAATGTCACAAACAATACAAGGTGTTCAAAATCACTCAAACTGGCCTCAAATACCTCAAGATTGGTTTACTTTTTTTTTCTTTTTCTTTTCTTCTTCTTTTTTTCTACAAAAAATTGTACAAAAAATACTTAATATTTGTCCAGAATGACAAAAGACTAAAACTTGTGAAAATGATTGTCAGGTATTTTGATGACTGATTTTATAATTGACAACTAATTGATTAGTTATTTCAGCTCCACCTTGACACAGGTACAATATTTCCATCTCATGTGCATTAGATGAACCTGCAGATATATCTATAGATATATTTCACCCTGATGTCCGACACGTGAATCTTTTCACCTACAAATCAACAAGTAAATCACTGAAGGGGAAGTGAAATGAAGGAGTTAGCCGATCTACGGGAGCGTTTCATCGAGACCTTTCCTCCAGCAAAGCGTCGGCTGAGAGTCTGTTCCTGATTCGAGGCTCCGTCACTAAAATGTTCTCTGAGTTTCAGGAAACATCCGGTCAGGTTTTATTTTGTTAAACTTTATTTGTAAGATGCACTGGAATGCATTGCGCTCATCTTGTATGTGTCTTTTGTATCCTTTAGATAAGCTCTATTTAAATGAGATATCAATCTGTGAATTGTAATAAAGACAGAAATTTAAATGATCTTTGATGCAGAGCTTTTTTCTTCAGTTTGGTTTCTTGTTGACATTTGGTCAAATTAGATGCATTAAAAAAAACAAAAAAACTCTTTGTGTGTTTGTAGCCTTAGATGTTGGACAAACAAAGTGTAGTTTTATGTTTGTTTCTAGAAAGATAATTTTCACATTTGCCTGAGAAAAGTTCTGCTTCATCCATCCATCATCTACACACTCCTCACTAGGGTCATGGTGGGCTGGAGTCTATCCCAGCTGACTCAGGGTGAAGGCAGGTTCACCTGGACAGGTAACCAGTCTATCACAGGGCTACACTTAGAGACAGACAACCAAGCACACTCACATTCACACCTACGGACAATTTAGAATCACCAATTAACCTCAACATGTTTCTGGACTGTGGGAGGAAGCCGGAGAACCCGGAGAGAACCCACGCTGCACGCAGAACACCGGGACGCGAACCGGCAACCTTCTTGCTGCGAGGCAACAGTGCTACCAACTGCGCCACCTTGCAGCCTGCTTCAAGCTTCAGCTAACTCAAATTCATGTGATAAATAACAGGCAGACGTGCAGATTAAAAGTTTTCAGGGGTTGAAGGAGTTTAAAAGCAGCTTCGTCACAGTGGCATTAAAGAACTAAAAGCTGCCTCTGTTTTGTAGGTCTGATGAGGTCACATGGAGGAGGTCACATGACTCAATATTCCTAATGATGAAGTCTAAATCATCATCGTTTAACTGTTTTAAATGTTGATTAATGTCGTTTTTCAGATACATAACAGCATGCTCAGTGAGCATCTGTCCAGCAGGAGGAAACACAGACGGATGGATGAACATCGGCTCTGTTTCAGCTTCTATCACTATGCTCATGAGTACTGTTGTCTGTACCGTTTTCAGACCTCCTGACAGACTGACGATGGCCCTAAAACAGCTTCCATGTTGGGACAAGAAACCACAAACCACAAAATACTGTCATCGTTATTAGTTTAGGATTGAAATCATGGTCTTTTTGTCTGAGGTCTAGATGATGTGTGAGAGCTTTGTGTTGTGTGATGGTCCTCTAGTCACTGTTTCTTCTTTGTTTGTTTGTTTGTTTGTTTGTTTTACAGCACATTAAATACAGCAAACACAAACCAAAAGTGCTTTTTAGTTAAGAAACACAAGTTTAGATAGTAAGGTTAGGTTTATCTAAAAAGATCAAATATGATGCCAGATGGAAAAACATCTTGCAGACATTTTTTTCTTTGTTTAATTGCTTTTAGTTATTAGATCCTGAAGAAAACACCCTCTCATGTTGTTCATACTGCTGTTGTATGTACAGCGAAATGACAATAAACCTGATTTGATTTGATATAGATTATTTTATTATATATCAAATATATATATATTTTTCTTAGTACTTATCACTTCTCAAACTTTTTTGTGCTGACAGTTTTGTTGAGTGCTATCGTGGATAATCACTGAGTTATTTCATGTGTTTAGAGATAAACTGAACTAATAATAATAATGATAAGAGGAGGAAGAAGAAGAAGCTGATAATCAATGAATGATTTCAGCACTGGAGTAAATAAAACGGACTCCCACTAATCCACAAATAATGAATGTTTTGTATATATAGTGTTTAGAAGAAAGATGTCCTGATAAAATAATGCAAACATTAGGTCCTGAGGCGGTGCTTAATTACAGCCTTTTATAAAACAACCAGGCAGCTGGAGAGAATTTTCTCGTGTGAAATGCGTAAAACAAAAAGATTATACAAAGACAGGCCTGATTCTTCTGAAAAACAATCATATAATCAATGTATAAATCAGGATATATATATATATTTTTAAATCCAATTCAAATCTCAGCCTGCACGTCGTCTCATGAGCTCTACTACAGCCAATCACAGCACGTTTCCCCCTGCCAGCTCGGCCAATCATCGCTGTCCACGAGGTGCAGCTCCGGGGGGCGGGCCGACCGAGATTTCCCTCCAGCCAATCAGCTCCTGACAGTTGACAGGAAACGTCAGACATACGCCGACGGCGGCCAATCAGCGGCGGGGGGAGGTGGATCGGCGCCCTCCGATATCTCACGTGACGCTCCTCGGTAGTTCCCAGGCGGTCAGCGCGGAGAGCCGGAGGTGAGTAAATCCAGCGACAAATGACACATTTCCCCACGCAACCCGCCGGGTAGAGCCGCTCTCTGAGGGAGGACGCTTTATTTTTGCTGTCTGTGCTGTAATTATTCAGATAATATCAGTTTTTAGCGACTACATCACCATAAACACGGAGCTTCGTGGCTCCGGCATGCTGCTAGCATCGGTGGCTAACAGACTCATTAACCATAGGTGTGCTCGGTTAGCCTGTTAGCCTGCTGCGTTAGCCTTCACTGACATTTAATTAAACACTTCCCAATTCTGCACGACTTACTATCTGTGTATTACATAGGGTTTGTTTTTTTTTAGCTTAATAATAAGGCTAATTTAGCTACTCGCGTCGCTAGCAGCAGCAGCAGCAGCTAAGCTTAGCTGTGTGGCGGAGCTAGCTGCTGCTTCTGGTATCCGGACACTCGGACGAGGTTTGTGAGCTGATAGAAAACAACAAATATGAGCTAAAATGTCAGGAGCAGACTGTGTGGTCACAACCGGAGCAGGAGTGTGTGTCAAGGGTCAGCTAGCATGCTGGCTGCAGCTGTGTAAGCAGCCACCAGAGGCTCCAGCACCACCGGCCAATGTTATGCAACCCGAGAGACATTAAACAGTTTGTGTGAAATGGATCCAAACTAATCAAATGTGCCACTGATTCATGTCCAAGTGTATTCATGAAAGGTGGAGGCTACAAATGATAGGCCTATTTATTTAGATTTAGACTTTAATTGGTGTAAAATGGAAGAAAACTATTTCTTCATTAGCCAACAATAAACCTTTACAATCCGCTGATTTATCTTTGCATATTTAATGAAGCCACCTTCATTCTGTGAACATGTGTGGAGCTACAGGCCCCTGGAGTACACACGTTTTAATTTACTTTAGATAGACATTTTTAAAAGTGCATCTTGGGTGACATTGTAATGCTCATGTCAGCATGCAGGAGGTGTGGTTGGTCAGAACAAGTTCTAAGAAATGAAAGGTCTCAGTTTTTTGGTACCAGCATCATTTTCTAGACGTAGGACGGAAACGTGTGACCTCAACAAAGTGGTGTTAAACAGACGCATCGGAGAAGTCCCAAGAATGATTTTGCTTTGTGTTTGTGTCAGATTGTTTTACCTCCAAAATGATGCACAAGACATTTAAAACGCAGCTTTAACATAGTTTCACTGCTGAAATAAATATATACAGCCAATATGAGACGTCCTCGTCTGAATGAAGTGTTTCTAACTCAATAGCAATGAGAGAAAACTATTTATGTAGTTAATTGTCTTAACACTGAGCAGTCTGGGTGTCTCCTGTCACGTTTTTCTTCACGGTGGCTCATTTCTAACTGAAACAGAAAGTCCTGCACCGCTATGGAAACGGGTCAACAATGAAGGAGGAGAGAGATGTTTTCTGTCAGTAAGACACAGTTAGAATGACAGAAATCAGAATAAAAGAACAATAAAAGTGGAATTTCATGTGTCCACAGGTGTTACCAGCACTGTAGATATTTAGCTGTTCACCGTCTCCTCAGTTCAGCAGAAAACGCTCAGACTTTTAGTCCTGTTTATCGTAGCTGAGTCGGCCATGACAGTCGAACCGAGTAGTGCAGAATTTTTGGGTTTTTTTTACAGGATCTACTGCAAATGTTTTAATGATAATGCTAATATTTTCAAGACAGTCAGACCCTTTACAAAGTAGGTAAGAACACAACAAGACAAACATAAAATAGTAAATAACTCAAATCTAAAGGGAAACAGCATAAAGAAAAAGAATTATGAGTGGTAAAGATATGACTTTTATATGTAAAACAAAGATTAAATATCACAGTTTTATGCTTAGATGTTATTTTCCCAGCAGAACTATATTTCGTTAGCTCTGGGGCTGTTGGGATGGTGAAAACCCAGCGAGTATTTCTGTTTTTACCGTTTGCAGCCTCTGATTTAGCTTTTTTTTTCTAAACCCCATAAACCAGCTTCAGATGGTAAACTCAGTGATATTAGTGATAAAATGTTTAATAGCAAGACATGGCATTTTTTTCCCTCCTAAAAATCCATTTTGACTGTTTCATGGTTTATGTGTCTGTTTCCCCCAAAGGACAAAATGACAAGAACCAATGCAGCGAACAGAAGGCTGCTGTAGCTGATGATTAACAAAGGGTTTGTTTTAAAGGTTATTGTTGGAATGACACCAACTGTCTGGTGTTTCATTCACTTCATCCTGCAGTTTGACACCATTAATGATCGATTAGTTGTCCGCTATTAAAGTGATCCTCCAACTATTGTAGTGATGATTAAACGGTTTGAATACATCTGGAGAGAAAAAAATGTTAAATGCGAGTATCTAACTAAACATCCGTGGGTTAATTATCCCTCAGGTCTGGTCTCCCACACTAATACTTCACCAGTTTGTCCACAACCCAAACTATTCCACAAGGGTTGAAAGCTGGTTGAAAAAAAGATTTGTCCGTAAATGAGTCACAGTGGGTCCTAAAATTACTCTCAGGGACAGAGTAGTGGCTCAATATGTCCAAAAGAATTCAAAACCTGTCCGGAAATGACTCAGTGTGTCCAAAATAGTCCAAAAATGACTCAATTTGTTGACAATAACAAAACATAATCCTCAATTTGTCTAAAGAGGTCCAAAAGTGACTCCAAATTAATGCAGAAAGACAAAAATTCAATTCAATTTTGTTTATATAGCGCATATTTACAACAACAAGTCATCTCATAGCGCTTCACAAAGGCAGAGACAGAAACACCCAACAATCCAAAACATTTGGATTCCCTATAAGCTTCAGCAGTCCGCCACAGTGGGACGGAACCGAAGACCCCCGAAGGGGAAAAAAAACCTCCGACAGAACCAGGCTCAGGGAGGGACGGCCATCTACCTCCACCGGTTGGGTGGATGTAGAATGAATTATAAAATTTAGTTTACAATTAAACACGTTACTAGAAGTTATTGTCCTTTTGTAATATCTTCCAAATGATTCGACATTCATCCAAAGTGACAGATTTGTCCGTGAGCAGCTCAGTGCATCCAAAATGAGCTGACGATGAGTTCAAACTGTCCAACCACGATCTAAAATTAGTCCAAAGATGACCGTCATTGAATCAAAAAAAACACCTAAAACATGGTCCACGATTGCTTAAAATTTGTTTTCGATTAGTTGTTTGGTCAGAAGATGGTGAAAACTGTCAGCTGGTACCAACCAACAAACTACTCGCTGTGACGCTCCCCCTTAGACCCAGTCGGAACGACGTCTGTGTTTGTAACAGTGGCTGTTATTGGTTCACGTGTTGGATCCAGTTTCTCCACTGAAGCCGTCCGACTGGTTCAGCCACCGGTTTCTGTCAGGATCTGATGGGAAACCAGCCCTACACATGGCTTAGCATCCTAACTGTCAGGAAGGGGAGGAATCACAGGTTTTCATGGAGATGCTGATGTTATTAGAGCTGGAAGTCAACTCACAGACATGGTAACATCATTACATGTGGCTTCCTGAAGATATTTATCTCTGATCCAACCTGAAAGCCCATAAATCTGCTCAGAAATCAGAGAAAAGACAGTTCAGAAGCTGCTTGACAATTGTCTGTTTGTAGTTGTTCTCCAGTAAAAACTGTCTGTACGTCCATCGTATGCTTCAAACTGACAGTTTGGCTGGTTTTAATGGAACTAGTCAGACCAAATGAGAACAAATACAGGCTGAAAACAGTTTCTACCTGCAGCCGGTCAGATCAGAAGAAAGAAAACAGTCATTAGAAGAATCAGAGGAGCAAGTGAACGGAAGTTGTTGCTGCTGTTATGATTATTATTACCGCAGTTGGAATGAAACAGAACTGAAATAAAATCAGACCAACACACATCGTCCCCTTTGAGAAGAAGATTAGACAAAAATGTGCCAGAAAATGACCCCAAATCTGTCCACAGTCACACACAGTGACAAAAAATGTTCAAAATGTGTCCAGAAGTGACTCAGCATTAGGGCAAAATGACTCGGATTGCAAAAACGAGTCCAGAACTACTCGGCAATGAAAGAAATTTAAAGTAATTTAAACCGAACCAAATGTATTTATAACAAGCTGTTGGTTTAAAAAGATGATTCAAATTGTAGAAAGTGAAAGTGTGACATGAAAGCATTGATCTCACTTTATGCAGAAATAAGCGTGTTTAAGTCGCTAAAAACCTGCATCACACAATAGGGCAGCGTGATACGGCCACAAATATTTATCACCATATCAATGAGAAGATTTAAGATAACAGTATAACTGACGCCAGACAAAATACTTCAAAACTGACAACTTCATTGGTGCAAATAAAAAAAGAACAGTTTCTTTTCCATTTAGCAGCTAACAGCTGTTGTTGATGTGCATTAAAGCTGTGATGTACCAACACCAATGGTGCATCAGCTGTGAACTGCTGCTGACAGTTTGTTTAACCAAAAGGCGTTTCAGATGGAAACGGGCTGACAACACATCCTGAGCAGAACAGTGCATAGTGTCCAACGAAGTAAAGCAGAGTTGCATAAAAGCATAAAACTTAGCAGCCAGTTTCTTTGGACCCACCACCACGTGGATACTGGGACCAACGGGGTGGAAGTGGGCGGGGCGCACAGGCAGGACTTGGTGCTGATACCAGTTTAGGAGGAGAGCGGTCACAGTTCTGTTTCCACCATCGGGTGGTGGCGGCAGCGGCGGGCGAATATTCAGATCTCTAAATTGCTATGCAGACACCACCACAATACTCGGATATCCGGGTCCAGCCCGACTGTCGGTCGATGCATCGCCCTCCTCCTCGGTCGCCATCGTGCTCCTCCCTCCATGTGCGTTAGACCGGACCAAAACAACGACACTGCGCCTTTCACTGAGATGTTATTGCGATATTTCAGGTTCATATCATCCCCTGACAGTATACCGCTATGATGTGGCCCCGCCCTACTGCAGCAGCAGCTTTCTGCACATTTACGGAGGTTAAAGAACACGTCTGGTTGGTTCTCCTCTGGTTCGCTCACTGGGACTCATGATGGGAGTGCAGGTTAAAAGCATTCATGCTGTGATGGATATATAATCTGGCAGCTGTTTTTGTGGTTTTCCTCCAGTGTTTGTTTTCATCGCTTTATAGCAGCGGCGACCCTCTGTGTTGACTCCAGGTGAATTAGGGATGGAACTTTAGCCGAGTCAAATATCGCATTCATTTCACTTTTGCTCTTGAACAAAGTAAAGAAAACGACAAAATCGAAAGTCAGTGCTTCGTCTCCTCCAGTGTTGACAAAGTTTGGGACTTAGTGTCTGAAATGAGTTTATTTATTCAATTTATTTGTCCAACATAACTTATTACACCTCAGTTATGCTCAGTTCTTCGTAATTGGCCCAAATTTACACAAATTTGTCAAAAACGACTCCAGATTCTCCCAAAATAATGCAAAAAATGCCCCAGATGACTCAAATTAGAGAGCTTTATGACATTTAGTGGCACCAGTCTGAAGAAACGAGAACAAATCCAGGATACAGCCAGTTTAAAACCAGATTAGTGCGGCTGTAGTTATTGCTTGACTTGGGCGTCTGTATCTCTGGCTGCAGTTCTTCTTGTAATTCAACAATGTTTTTTTGGGGTTTTTTTTGGACATCTTTAATGGTTTTGTTTTGTTCCAGTATCACAAGACGTGTAGCTCGTTGTAAGGCAGAGAAAGAAAAGTGTGTCCAATAACAACCTGACGTCGGGTGTGTTGTTGCTTTACATGTGAAAACGATCAGCGAAATGTTTTTTTTACTGACGGTTATCTAAAATTTGGTACCAAAATGACTCAATGTTTGTGTAAAATGAGCAAAATTGGTGGATTTTGCCCAAAATTACATCCAAATTTGTCCAAAAATATTTTAAAAATATGTCCAATGATTTAAATTTGGGTCAAATTTCCCCAAATGTGTCGACGACGACTCCAGATTCTTCACTACGTTTCTGATTTGACACCCGAAATGTGTGCGTATATTATTATAAAGATAAATTACAGCACTGCAGACTTCATGTATTCACGTTTGGTGTTCAGAAAGCGTTTCCTGATGAACTCTGTTTGAAAGCAGCTGAGCAGTGGATGTGAGCAGCAGCAGCAGACGTCCTGCAGCCTCCAATGATATCAGATTAACTGACAGTAACTGGGCTGCGTGGAGCCGACGGTCTGGCCCATAAACGGCGCCTTCAGCTGGTTTCACTCATCGGATTAACATGAAGCTGCTACTGCTGCTTCCTCAGAGCTGCTCAAGAAAACTCAGCAGAGGAAACAGAAACATGTAGATTCATGTTTTTGTCTTGCATGTTCAGAAATGAAAGCATGAAACCTGCTGCCTCCTGAAGGATAAAATAAATCTGAGCTTTAACTTTCGTAAATAGTACACCTGTATGTAAACTCTACACCTGTACAGCTCGACTTGTAATTCTGAATCGTGAATTAGTTTGCATTTAAATATGGAGCCTTATATTTACAGGATTGTTTGTGCTAAGAGAAGTTTTTGGTGTTACCCCAGAGACGTTTTATCCCGAAGCAACGGAAAACGCAGAGATGTCTGTCACAGATCTGTCATGCCCACTACTGTAGGTAGTCCCACTGTAAAAACTAATTCTGTTAAAAACAAAACAAAAAAACTACTAGATATTATCTGCAGCTTAACAGCAAATATCTGTGAAATAACTGGATTTTTCCTAATTTAAATACAGTTGAAAGAATATCATTTTATGTCCAACGGTAGACCAGATCACTTTTTTTGTGTTCGTTTTTTACGGTAACGTGTGAATTAATCATGTTCACTGTGGATGTTATCTGTAATCTAACAAAACAGGGAAAATCAGAAAAAAGAAAACCTTCAAAAAGTTAAAAACTAAAGGACCATTCTGAGTAACTCAAGCAGCAAATGTGGGTTATTCTGGTGAACGTAGTCCTCTGCTGATGTTCATTTAAAACCACAGCGAGCAGCAGCGTCGGGAGCCTTGTTACAGATTAAACTGTAGATCTTTGTTGTTAGAGTTAACGATTTACTGCATCAAACCCTTCGCGTGCATCTTCTTAAGTAAAATCTGTATCTTTATCTTCAACCATCTCGAGCCACGGTGAAGTTTTCTAATTCTTTAAATGCCACGTGGGCGCCGACTGGCCAGATGGCTTCAATGCTAAGCTATCGACTAGCGCTGGTGTCTGCATGGCTGTTAGCCTGGCATGCTAATCCCGCTGCAGGTTAATCTGATCAGCCTGGCAGTCTGCTGCTGAACTGAAGGCAGGATGTCAGGTTTTACTGTCCGTCAGGCCTGAGTTTTATCGTTGCTTTACCTGAATAATCAGGAGTTATTGTTTGACCTGTGCATCATGAGTATTTTGTGCCAGAATCTGTGTGATATCAGTATTCATGGAACAATCTGCAGTATTGTTATTGTGCACATGCAGTGGAGCCTGTATAACAGCTTCAGTTTCTACCTACAGAGGACGACAAATATCAACCGTACATACGTAAACGTAGGTATATTGGTTTGTTTTGTGTTTTATTTTCACTGTGGGATGAATAAAGACTTCTCCTATCTTAAAGCTGGCCCACAGAAATGTGTGCTGCTGCTGATTTTGTAAAGGAGATGGCTTTAAAAGCAGCCTACACATCAGCTGCTTCATCTGAACCATTGGTGCTACAGAACCAGATCTATCAAAGGTTTCTCATGATGCGCTAAAGAATAAGTCCATGTTCAGCATTTTTTCTGGACATCTCATAAATAAAAATGTCTGAAACAGCAGTTAACAAAACTGGACAAAAGTGTGTTATTTATTTCATTAAAAAACTGTATTAATATCTTTCCATTTTGTTGGTGCCTAGAATTCCAGTATGCAGGAAAAAACCCTGCTTCACAGCCGATGTTTGGACCAAAACATGTTCAGTAAAAGGAAATAATGCCACTAAAAGCAAAGTTTTAGCTTTGATAATTGCACATTTTGCTATTTTAGCTCATGAAAACTGATAAAATTAAAAAAATGTGTCTGTTTTCATTCAAATAAGCTCTGTTCAATATGTAGAGACTGTACATTCTTCACCAGAAACAGGATTGTTTTATTAGTTTTAGGCCTTTCTGTGTCTAAGTGCTGAAACCAGACCTGACTAGGAAATGGTAAAGCTGACAAAACCTCGCTTTCGTAATGCACCATATGTAGCTGGTAGTGTTACGTTATCTTGGATCAGATGAAAACCCTTTTCTGAGCGGTTCCTGAATGAACACAGCAGCTGTGAACGGGTACATGTATATTCACACAGGTGAAGTAATCGGATAAACTAAACCCTTGTTGTTGTTGATCACCGTGTCGTATCGACTGCAGAAGCATCTCTTCTTAGATTACGTGTAGACACGGCGAGCGTAGCGGCGCTGCAGGTTAATAAATCTGAACTCTGCTGTGTTCAGAGTAACCTGCAGCCTCCTTAAACTGCAGCAGAGCAAACCAACCGTCTGTTTGCGCCGCAGTAATCTCACAGGGTTTAATCTCATTAAGGGTAAATGAGCTGAGGCTGCGAGTCCTGCGGGTGCTGGCTGGTCGGTTGGTCGGTTGGCTGGTTAATTGGTTAGTGGGTCACTGTGGCGATGGTTGGGTGGATGCAGGGAGAATGCAGTTTAATCGGCAGTGTGTTAGTCGCTGTTTGAACTGGTGTTGACTGGTTAACAACCTGCAGTTAACTTCACGAGATGCAACGTTCATCATATCGTAACTCAAACGAAACGTGGCCGACACAAGCCGACATGGAAGAATTGTTGTATTGTGAATTCCTGAAGACTTGTTCTTTTTGTTTTTGCTTTGTTTCTTTGAGGTTTTACAGCATTGTAGCATGAGGAGGAGGTGGGGGTGGGTGGATGGGTCGTTTAGATTAGCTCTAGATTTACCAGATTAACAGGAAGGACTGTAGTGGTACCATTAAAATGATTGGATGCCCATACCTCCAAGACAGCAGCAGCACCGTTTCCATTAAGTTTTTCTGATAGGATAATTCAAAATGCAGACAAAAATCCTTCATTGAAACACTGGCATAGAATAACAAGGTCTGCCCTGTGAAAATGATCACTTTGAGAAACAAGCTTCCACACGTTAGGGCTTCTGGAGGCTTTCTAGGAGCTACAAGTGCGTGTACCCTTCAGATGGATGCTGATCTAAATGTTGACCCATCCATCCACCCCCACCCCCTCCCTGTGCTAAATGTGAAGACATCTTCAGGAATTGTTTTTAGTTGTTGGGGTTGAAATGATTCTTTCATGTCGGCTGGTGTCAGCCATATTTAATACTGTTAAACAGCTGATTGTTCATTTGATGTTGATGCTCGCCAAGTCTTTCCGTCTCCCGGGAGGCTTATTAACTCTTTATTAGAAGAAGGCAAAAGCCACGTAACGGAAATGTACATGTGTGTGTCCTCTGACAACCTGTGGAAAGTGAAAACTGACCTGAAACCTGTCTCTGCAGACTATGGATCAGAGGGTCGGGTTGTTCGTTCTTCTGGCGTTGGGCCTCCTCTGCCTTCACTTAGCGCCCGTCTCTCGGGCTGAGGACCTGATTGAGGACGGTCTGGGCGACGACATGGACGTGGAGGACGAGCTGGATCTGGGTTTGGCCGGAGCCGATGACGAGGATGAAGAGCTGGAGGGAGACGTGGAGGACGAAGCTCCGCCTGTTCCCAAAACTCCTCCCACACCCAAGGTAAGACGGCAGCGGCTGATTGGACGGTTTTTGGCTGATAGTTACTAATAAATGTCAACCAAATCTGAAAAAATGTTCCCCCCCACCTCCTCAGAACATCTGGTTCTGTATCTGCAGCACCTTTATCTACTGACCAGAGTTCTACCTTCAGACTGTGAATGTTCCAGAGTTCCAGGTCCTTCAAGTCCACAGAGGAGGGTCCAGATTGATCACCTTAATGGACTTTTTCCATCATTTCTGAGCCTCAGAACTTCATCAGTACAGCAGATACACACATGACATTTAGGAGGAAGAACACATCTAAAAACTAAAACAGATTTGGCCTTTGAATTGTGACACCTGCTGGATGGATGTTCCTCCTACATGTCATGTGTCTATCTGCTGTACTGATGAAGTTCTGAGGCTCAGAAATGATGGAAACAGTCCATTAAAGTGATCAATCTGGACCCTCCTCTGTGGACTTCAAGGACCTGGAACTCGAAGGTTAAACTTTGGTTCTTTAAGTATACTGAAGTTACTGTAGATAAAGAACCGGCTGGTTCTGAGGATGGGATGGAACACAATAAAGACGTGGACATGAAATGGATAATGAAGGAATTATTAGAAATAGATATTATTTTTGCTGTGTGGAGGCTGTTTGTCTGACGTTGATGTGTATAAATAAAGCTTCTGTAAGAACATAAATGCTGCTGCTCTGCTGAATGAGAAGCTACGTTACACATTAACCCGTGGGTCTGATACCAGCCGTGAACCGGCCTGCTGATCCACTGACCTAAATCCACTCAGGACACAGTCGACTGACAAACACACGTTTTTCAGTCCAAAGTCTTTTCAGTAATTGTTGTGACACTTGATCATCCTGTGCATGTACCACGTAGCGCTGCAACTAATGATTATTGTGATAATCGATTAATCTGTTGTTTATTTTTACGATTATTCAATTAATCAAACATTTTTGTTTAGTCTTTATTTACCCAGGTAAGTTAAGAGCATAGTTTCATGAAGAAAAAGAAAAACACAAAAGATCTGTGCATTTTATTTAACTGCTTTCTGTAAAACAGCTCAGATAAGAATAAACACAGTGAGCTTTATATCTAGCTTGTCAGTTTAAAGTTTTTTCAATTCAAAGCATCAAAACAAACAAAAAATGACGTAAAATAGTTTTTTTTAAAAATAAAAACTTACTGCCACACTGTGGTCGCTGCTATAAGAGATTGGTTTAAGATTTGCAAAAAACGGGCCATCTACGGTAAAAAATGTTATTAAGCAACTAATCAGTGACTAAATTAGTTAACAAAAATAACAATAATCAGTTTTAGTCGATTAGTTGTTCCAGCCCTCGTACCAAGTAACTGAATAAGCGCTGGTGGAGGAGAGTAGGTCGTCTCCAGAGGTCAGGTGCTGAATGCAAACCAAACACTTCTAGTAAAGATTAACTCAATTTGTTTTTTTTGAGAAAATAAGAAATAATGCTGACAAAGGCAAATGAGAGCAACAAACCCTCAGATCTCACCTCAGTGCGTTTTACAGGCACATAGAAGTCATGAATTCACAGAACAAACGGGCAGCCACAGGATTAGAAAGAGAAAGTATAAAATCTAATAAACTGAAGTCTCCGTTTGACCACAATATTCAGATTCATCACTGAACAAACTGGACACCGGAGATATTTCCTCAAACAGTGGCTCACGGTGACTCTGGAAAGTATTCAAACCGCTTCACTTTTTCCACATGCTGTTATGTTCCACAATGGATTACAAGTTTTTCTCTCAAAATCCTACACACAATACCCCATGGCGACAAAGTGGACATGTTTTTTAGACAATTTTGCAAACATATTAAAAATAAACACTCAAATATGGAATAAATATTCACACCCTTTGCTATGAAACTCAGAATTGAGCCCAGGTTCACCCTGTTTCCACTGGTCCTCCTTGAAATGTCTCTACAGTTTGATTGGAGTCCACCTCTGGTAAATTCAGTTGACTGGACATGATTTGGAAAGGAACACACCTGTTCTATATGAGGTCCCACAGTGGACAGTCAGAGAACAAATCAAGCCATGAAGTCAGAGGAAGATCTGTAGATCTCCGAGACAGGATAGTGTCAAGGCTCAGAAGTGGGGAAGGGTACAGAAACATTTCTACAGCATTAAAGTCTCCATCATTTGTAAATAGGAGATGTTTGGAGAGATGTTGGGAGATGCATAATGTAGAAAAAGTGAAGCGGTATGAATCCTTTCCGGATGCACTGGTTTATTATTATTATAACGGCATGTAAAGAGAACGATAAAGCTTGTTAAAGTAGCAAAAAGATCTAAATAAATGAAATGATCTGTTTCTAAAGTTAGCTTCACTGTCTTTCATTTCCTGTTTGTGTCCAGGTGACCTACAAGGCTCCAGAGCCGATGGGGGAACATTTCTTCGCCGAGTCTTTTGACCGAGGGACTCTTGATGGGTGAGCACACAACAAACTCCTGAGGATTGGAGGAATATTTGCTGTTTCCTGTTGACAGCAGAAGCGCAGAGTTCGACTGTATGGAGATAAAATGATCCCAAATTACAGCTTCTCTAATAGATACGACAGACAAACTAGAACTCTGTACAGTGGGTTTAAAGGCACATTTCTTTTTTTTTTTTTAATCACCAAAATTACACCAGTTATCATCTAGAAACTGTACAGACAGAACCGTTTTGACTTTCAGTTTCATCAGTGGAAAACAGCCAAACCGGACCTTGAAATCAGGATATTCTCTGAAAAAAAACTTTTATTCTGAAGAGCTGAACCCTATCAGATAAGGATCTGAAGACAAGATCTGAATGCTGCTACTGGTTATTTGTGCATTTGAGAGCCAGAAGATTCGTTTAGCAAAGTTAAAATATGAGTGGATTTGTGGACTATTGGGCTCCCCGAGTATCTAAACTCTGTGGTTGGTTTCAGGTGGGTGATGTCCAGCGCTAAGAAGGAAGACGCCGATGAAGAGATCGCAAAGTACGATGGTAGGTACATCGTTTTCACCTAAAGTACTGCGACTGTGGCTGAATCTGATCCTAAAACAGCCACGATCTGGAGGGTAAACACTTGTTGTTGTTTACAGGTAAATGGTCCGTGGAGGAGATGAAGGACTCGAAGCTGCCCGGGGATAAAGGTCTGGTCCTGAAGTCTCGAGCCAAACACCACGCCATCTCAGCCCAGCTGCTGCGACCTTTTATCTTCGACACCATGCCGCTCATCATCCAGTGAGGACCAGCGTTAACTCCGCTGAAGCTGCTTCCAGACACCAAGCCGAGCGTTAGACTTTCACGAGATAATTATTCCGGAAGTAAACGCTTGTGCCAGATATTTCTCGCAAAGAAGTAAAAGACAATGAATGCACCATATTTAGAAAGCAATAAGATATCAGTGGGTACATTGCGGACAATATGTAAACTGAAGGAAAATCAGGATCGAAAAGTACTGAGTAACACTGGCAACGTGCTGAATTTGTAAAGTGATATCGCACATTCAAATAGACTGTTGCTCGTTAAATTAAAATATTACACGTTATATCAAAATGTACAAGAAAATACTACAGGTGAAAAGTGAAATAATTTTTTTTTTTACATGAAATTAAAATGTTTGACATGAATTTTACATATTGCAAATGAAAATTTAAATATTACCGAATAATAAAACAGAACACATGAAGCTGAAATGTTTTACAGCTACATGAGGCTGTATGAGGAAATATTGAAACTAAAGTGTTGCACATGATAAACATTTTGCACGTCCAATATTACACATACCATTAAAATATTGCACATGTACCTGGACCAATATGAGCACTATTTGGATCTGACATCGAATGTCTGGAAGCAGCTGCAGAACGTGTAGATCAACATGAACTCTGTTGTGCTGCCGTTGTGGTTCTGATGTGTGGCTCCGTTCTCAGGTACGAGGTGAACTTCCAGTCGGGGATCGACTGTGGCGGCGCCTACGTCAAGCTGCTGTCTCAGACTCCTGATCTGGACCTGGTCAGTGCCACTCTCTGCTCCTCACACACAATGTTCTCATCAGTTTGACCAAGACTCGGAAACAAAATGCGAATTTACAATGAAGTCGTCACATTTGAGACGTGTTCATAGTTTGCTTAGAAAATGACTGAAGTGTTCTGAACATGTGGACAGGTGGGTTCGACTGCACGTCATCAAAATACACCCTCTGAACCTCAACCCACTGGTGTGTTTCAAAGGAACGTTAAAAGCATTTCTGTAGCTGCGAAACACTCACGTTTTTGTTACTTTTGCAGCTGCTCTGCATAGTCACTGAGAAATAATAATAAAAGTTTAACAAGTCCTGTTACTTCATTTGCTCAAACACAATGAGCATCAAATGGTTAGAAATAATAGCAAAAGGCACAGATTTCATCGATTTCATGAAGCTGTGATTCCTAAACGCTGAGGCTGATCACGGGCTAAGACGATGATTTTTACGTTTCGTTCCTGCCGCTGTGTGTCTGCAGGACCAGTTTGTGGATAAAACTCCGTACACCATCATGTTCGGACCCGACAAATGCGGAGAAGATTACAAGCTGCACTTCATCTTCAGACACAAAAACCCCAAAACCGGAGAGTACGAAGAAAAACACGCCAAGAAGCCCGACGCCGACCTGAGGACGTACTACACCGACAAGAAGACGCACCTGTACACCCTGGGTAAGACTCAGATGAGGAAGTCGGCTCACCTGTGCTTTAACACACTGATGTCAGTCGGGTGTAACTCATGTGTTCCGCCCCCCAGTGGTGAACCCTGATAACAGCTTCGAGGTGCTGGTGGACCAGACGGTGGTGAACAGCGGGAGCCTGCTGACGGACGTGACCCCCCCAGTGAACCCCCCTGCAGAGATCGAAGACCCCGACGACCACAAACCGGACGACTGGGACGAGAGGGCCAAGATCCAGGACCCCGACGCCGCCAAGCCTGAAGACTGGTCAGTACTAGAGATTATAATAATGATAATAAGAATATGAATGACAATGAAAACAGTACTATTAACCCTTAAACAAATAAGGTCCTAAACAGGCACCATAACAACATAGAACGGTGAAGTCAAGTTTGTTTTTATTTTGTTTTATTTATTTAATATTAGGACAAGTTCAGTGTTTTTTACTTGAGTAATTTAAATATTAAGGATTACAACTCTACAAAGCATTCTAGTATACAACTTTACCTGACTATGAGTACTTACACTTTTAATACCACAGTACAAGCCCTGAATAATACCGACATGCCGGACTTCAGCAGTGTGGGATTCATATTTTAATTAATCGTTCTTCCTCCAAAGCTGCACATCTTTCTCTTAAAGCACGTTACAAAACATTCACCTACAAATCAAGCAGCTGAGCAGGAAAACTGAGAAAAATGTTTGATTCAGGGTTTATTAGGACACATGTTGTCACAGACAGATGGTGGTGGATCTAGCAGGTGTTGGCAGGACTTTGGAACTAGCCTGAGTGAAGTTTGTTGAGACAATGATCAGCATTATTGAAATTACACCGTCGATATGATTTGGAGCTTTCAAAATTCTGGTTCTAAGTGGGGCTGCAGGTGGATCAGTGGTTAGCATCGTTGCCTCGCAGCTAGAAGGTCGCCGGTTGGCGTCCCGGTGAGGACACCCGGGATCTTCCTGCGTGGAGTCTCCATGTTCTCTCCGGGTTCTCCAGCTTCCTCCCACAGTCCAGAAACATGTTGAGGTTAATTGGTGATTCTAAATCGTCCGTAGGTGTGAATGTGAGTGTGCTCCAGCCCCCCATGACCGTAGTGAGGGTTAAGGTGTAGAGATGATGGATGGATGGTTCTAAATGCAGAACCTCAGCTGTTGTTGAAACTTCCTCTGTAGAGGTGGGAATCCTGGTACTGAATTCAGAGTCCATTCTGGATTCTTCTTCACAGGGTGTCTGTGGAGCCTAAATCTATTTGAAATCTGAATTCTCCATAAAAGTGACTGTTAAATAAGTCTCTCAGACGTCTCAGTATTGCTGCAGATTTGTGATGTTTTCCTGCTTTCTGCCTGGTTCCTGCCCATCACTTCTATCAGAACATGAATCTGACTGTTCAGTGAAAACAGTGTTAAGTTCAATTGTTTGACTAAAACTTGAGAAGAAATGTCAGTAGCTTTAGTTTAAGAGCTGCAGCTGACAGTTAGTTTCATGTTGGACTTTCATGATTAATCAGTTGTCAGATTGGATTATACTCTATATAGGTGAGGCTCTCTTTCTGTTTTTATTGGTGCCTCTCCTGAAAGCAGCTTGTGTCCAGCACGAGGCCACATCAGGAGCTGCACTTCCACAGACTTTCTTTCAGTTTTGTTTTGTAAAACAAAATATGATGAAGATGTGGAAAGGAATGCGGTGGCACATATTTCATACGCTTACAGTTCACACACGGTCATGACATCGTATCTCCGGTTTTACACAGTCTATTGACGTGAAACACAAACTGGGAGAGAGTTTCAAGTCTGACCAACGTTTTGCCAATAAATGTAGTGTTTAAAACTAACCGTTTGATTGGTGCAGCTGTATTTGGTGACAACAGCTGTAGCAGCTAACTTTACTGTTATTGATGAGATGTACTGATGTTTAGTAGAAATATGTTTTGCACCAGCATTTCTACATTTGGTAAATGGAAGACGTTTTGTATGTATGGATCAGTACATTTACATTAACCTGTGTTTGTCTGCAGGGATGAAGATGCTCCCGCTCAGATCCCAGACGAGGAAGCGGTGAAACCAGACGGCTGGTTGGACGATGAGCCCGAGTACATCGGAGACCCCGACGCCCTCAAACCCGAGGACTGGTGAGTCGCCGCCTCACGGCAGCCCGTTGACTTGGCGCTGCTCGGCCCGTAGCACTCTGATAACAGCCTCTTTGTTTGTCAGGGACGAGGACATGGACGGCGAGTGGGAGGCGCCTCAGGTTCCCAACCCCGCCTGTGAGACCGCCCCCGGCTGCGGCGCCTGGAAACGCCCCATGATTGACAACCCCAGCTACAAGGGCAAGTGGAAACCACCCATGATCGACAACCCCAACTACCAGGTAGGTCTGCTGGAGTCCTACGGTGCTGTGAGCCTTTAAAGCAGCGGATGGCAGGCGAATATTCGCATCTCAAAATTGCTATGCGGACACCACCACATATTCCGATATTCAAGTCCAGCCCTACTGCGTTGGTCACTGCACTGCATTCACCCTCCTCCTCATTGACTATATGTCTTCTGACATCCATGTGTATGTTTATAATGGGTTTCCCCTCCAACTCCACGTGCACCATGTCTGATGCAGGAGGTTCTGAGACCTCCACATCATCAGTGTGAGATTTTTTTTTCATAAAAAACCTGTACAGATAATCCATCATAGATCGTAATGCATGCATTAAAGATGTAGCAAAACTCATATAAATTAAAACTCGTGAATGCAAATAGATTTTTTTTTTTTTTCGTCACAAGGTTCAATAAATACTGCAGTTTAAAAAAAAAATAAAATAAAATTTTCAGGCAATTATTTCATGGTTCAGACTTTACAGGGTTAAATCATTTGTAGCAATTAATTGATTATTGCAGTGGTTCTCAAACTGGGGGTTGGGACCCTCATGGGGGTCCCAAGATAATTTCAGGGGGTCGCCAGATCATTGTAAAAAAAATAAGTAAAAAAGTAAAGCCTACATTTACCAAATAAATGTGTATTAGGGCTGTCAACATTAAAAGCGTATACTTCCTCCCACTCCTTTTTTGGACTTGTTCATATTATGATTTGATTATATTCTTTTTTAATTCTTTTTAAAGTTATTTTGTTTTGTTTTTATATTTTTTTCCCTTTCATTTGTTCGAAATAAATTCAGTTCATTCATTCATTCAAAAGAAAATTAACGTGTCAATGTAAAGAGATGAATCTGTGGAGTTAACACGTTAATTTTTAACGCATTAATGCCCGAACAGCAAAGTTATTACTTGTGGGAGATTAACAGTTCTAATANTTAATTTTTAACGCATTAATGCCCGAACAGCAAAGTTATTACTTGTGGGAGATTAACAGTTCTAATAGGTAGAGTCTAATGGGGGAGTGGACTACTTTTAATCATGTACACGTTAGATTTTCTTGGTTTAAGCAGCGACTTGGTGCGAGGAGCTCTGTCCTGGTCTACTTGTCATACATGGCGCTGAGTATTTGGGCTCTGGTTGGAGGTCATGCATCTCCATGGAAGTCTCTGTCATGGTTCCGTTGCTGCTAAACTCCCACAATGTAGTCTGAGTGACACCTCCTCTGGTCCGTTAAACAGTGAGAGGCTCCACCTGGTGGAACAACCAAGTACTGCAGCTGGTCTACAATACATTTTCTGACATGCATGTGCCTCATCTCCTTCTTTATTGGTTAATATATTTGTAATCATATAAATTATTATCAGCAGTCCATCCATTACTGGTTCACCTTGACTAACCCTCATCCTGACCTCTGACCCGTCGTGTTTTCAGGGCGTCTGGAAGCCGAGGAAGATCCCCAACCCGGCATACTTCGAGGACCTCCACCCATTCAGGATGACGCCGTTCAACGCTGTGGGGCTCGAGCTCTGGTCCATGACCTCCGACATCTTCTTCGACAACTTCTTCATCACCAACGACCGCAACACGGCTGACCGCTGGGCCACTGATGGCTGGGGGCTGAAGAAGGCAGCAGAGGGCGCCGCCGAGGTAGGTTCAGATTATATAGATGTTATAGATGTTACTAAATGGAGGTGGTTGATTCTGATGACCATTGTTGTCCTTTTGATGTCTTGTGAATGCATATGACATGATGCACACGTTTGGAGGAATGTCATCCTCAGATCCCTGAACACATCTCTAATATGCTGTGTGCACAGAAAAATAACGCTCAGGACCTTTAGGACTAAAACATCCTAATCAAGCCCCAAGAAAGCTGCACACTTTTATTTTACTTTGCTAATTATTTTAATATTCATCAACAGTTCTTTTAGCACTTGTAATAAAAGTATTCATTTTTCTTTTTTTAAACAGTGGCACTATGCAAACAAAGTGGTATTTAAAGGATTAAAAAAAGCTATGATCAGGACTAATGTGCTTAAAATATCTAAGTCACTGAAAGAGGAAAATGATTGATGAGAAATGTTTTGTTTAATCTGACACTGCATCAGAATCAGTCGTTAATGTGCACCTGACTGTGATAGTAGTTGGATTTTTATTTCTTCTTTAATGAAGAACAGCAGTGGTAAATAACTGGCATTTAAAGAGTCAAAAAGATGAAAATTAAAGCGTATGTGTTGGGTTTTCCTGACTCAGTGAAAGTAGAACATTATATTCATGTGTGTTCATATCAGCGTCTTCAGGTGGATGATTTTGTCCTGTGGATTTTATAAACTGATGCCTGACAGTAAAATAACAAAGTCATAGGAAGAGAAATGCAATTAAATGAGCTTTAAATTCAAACCGTTGAAAAAGGAAACGGCGTAAATGTGTAGTTTAAACTTTAAAATGACAGTTTTGGGTTTTTTGATGAGAAAATTTAGGACGTTTTGGCAACTGGGCAAAACAAACTGTGAGCTTCATGAAAGATGTTTGTTAGAGACTCTGGGCTGATGTAACCCTCCTGAGGCGGCGCTGGGAGACTGAAATAGATGTCGTGATGATCATACGAGTCTCTTCAGACAGTCGTTGCATTCAGGGACACTTCAGATCGCTGCAGCTGACCGACGGGAACGCTCGTCTTCTGTAAAGAGGCTGCACATCTTATCTAACAAGCAAAGTAGTTGATGAATAATAAACAGGTTCTTGGAGACAAATAATTAAAATGTTCTCAGTGTTGTTGTGGGATCAGCGTGTGGGGGGTTTGGGCTCATCCTTAAGATGAGGCTCATGATCTCCAGCCCCTGGTTTTACTGCCTCCCGGTTCCTCATAACAACCATTTAACTAACATCCATCCTCCCATGACGCTGTACAGGCGGTCTGGAGTGAACCAAATACAGTCTCCCTTCTTAGAGGAGAGTAATCAGCATGTTATCTGTAGATGGGCTGAATGTTCACAGAGCGATTCTAGCTGCAGCTTATCAGCATCAACTCATCCTAAACCCACATGAAGGTCTTGTATTGATGAGAACAAACTGGCAGCAGCTGCGCACATTCATTTGATTTCTGAAAATACAGCTGGTGAAGTTTACACTCTATTTATCTGAACAGAAGCAGAGATTCTCTCTCTGATGGTTCTGTGTCTGGTTGCACCTGTTTTCCGTCTGGTAGTCCTTTTGTGCTGTCTGCATGTAGTTGCTGCTGAATCAGATGTGTTGTTGTTGGTGTTGTTGCAGCCAGGTCTAGCAACTCAGATGCTGAACGCAGCAGAGGAGCGTCCGTGGCTGTGGGTCGTCTACGTCCTGACCGTGGCTTTACCTCTGGTCCTGATCATCGTCTTCTGCTGCACCGGAAAGGTAACGCCCTCACACACAGCAAAGTGTCCTGTCAGGTCAGCTCTACACGCTGATAGATCCGTTTAACAGCCAGCTTCTGCAATGATTGAGAAAAGTTAACAAGTTTAGGTCTGAGTTAACCCATTGAGGTAGGTAGTTTATCTTATCGGCACATTTTAAAAAAACGTTATTTAACTTAAAAATTTAAAGCAAAAGAAACAAACCGAAGAACAGCCACCAACGCCCATGTGAACCTGCAGCCCTCAGATCCCTGAATCCTCCTGCTCTGTGCTCTGGAAGTGAAAGTCTGACGGACAGTTGGGATGATGCTCTGAATGTCAGAGAGTTCCTGAACTGGGCCGCAGTTAAACAAGCGGCTGGAGAGTTCTTCCTTTTAGCCATGTCGGTACATGGAGTGAACTGTGTGTGCGGCTGCCTGCAGACGCAACATACGAGGTGTGTCAGAAAAGTTCCAGGACTGGTGTCACAAAAGATAGATTACAAGCTACAAACTACCAGTGTTCCCCTTCCCAGTAATCCTCCTGGAGTGTAAGGCCCTTCTCCAGCCTTCTCTTCACACCACCATGCACTCCTGGAAGGATTCCGCCAGGATCCTCTCAGCTCCGTCGTCACAGCCATCTTGATGTCGTCCACGTCTTCTAAACGGGTCCCCTTGATGACCCCCTTGAGCTTGGGGAAGAGGAAACAACCCCACGGAGCCAGGTGGGGTGAGTAGGGAGGTTGCTTCAGCACCGAGATGTTCTTCTCAGCCAGGAGCTGTGGGATGCTCAGGGCGTTGTGAGCAGGTTGTCATGGTGAAGCAGCCTCCACTGGTCCTGCTACAACTCTGAACGAAGCAAACGCTGCAGGATGTCTTTGTAGACGTGCTGGTTGATCGTCTGAAGGGCAAAACTCCTAGTTTGTAGTTTGAAATCTAGCTTCTGTGACACCAGTCGTGGACCTTCTCTGACACACCTGGTACCTGGTTAGTGAGGGATGGACAACAGAGATGTGATGAACTTTAGCTGAACATGTTTCTGCTCCAACTTGTTCCTGTTGTGGCAGCGAACATGAAGTGTAATCACACTGCTGGACGTTTCCTTCTGTCCTCCGTCATCATGGGGATAGACGGCTGCTCCACACATCAGCTGCTCGTCTGTTGGAGCTCCAGCAGACAACGTTCATTACCGTTGAAGCTTTTTGATCCTCCAGTATTTAAAGGTTTCGCCCCGGGGCTCACTACCCTCCCCCTCTAACAACCTATGATCAATATTTATCAATCGCATGTTGTTCCAGGGGGGCAGACGAAATGTTTAGTGAGGATTTAGTTCAGAGCTACAACTAGCACTCACCAGTTTAGTCCTCAACATCCCCAAAATCCAGTTTTGTTCCAAGAATAATCAATTTAAAGCACCTGTTTACCTCTGACGCTGCTTTCAAACTGTTCTTTGACATGATTTGCCAAAGTGTTGATTGATTTTCTGACGGTCCACAGAGGTCTTCAGGATCAGCTCAGGGTCAGTTGAGTCTCACCAGCATACAGGAAGAGTTTAATGAACCCGGACGTCCTGCCCGCTCCGCCTCGTCAGGCCCGGTGACTCCCGCTTATAGAGTAGATCCACCACACGCTTCTGGTGCTGTTCTGTCTCTGTGGTGCTGTAGTGTAGCGCGCTTGTGTTCTCGTGGCATGAAGTGTTGTCGGCGGTCACCAAGACCACAAGTTCAACGTTTCTGTACGATAGCTGCCGTTGTGGAACCAGAGTTAGACGGTTTCTCAGCTCAGAACTTGGATCAGTCCAATAAAATCAACCAGACCTGATAGCAGCTGATTCTTTTTCTACGTTAACTTTAGTATATTTAAGGAAGCAGGTTGAAGTTCTACCGTCATTCTGTGAATACGTCCAGAGTTTGAAGCGCTTAAAGTCCAGAGAGGAGGATCCAGACTGAGCTCCTCAGAACAGGATGAAGAACACATTTAAATGATTTTCATTAAAAACTGAAACCAAACTGGTCAATATCAGGAAGTGAGTGGTGTCCAGAGGAAGAGCCTTTCATTGTCTACAACAGTGGTTCTCAAACTGGGGGTTGGGACCCTCATGGCGGTCCCAAGATAATTTCAGGGGGTCGCCAGATCATTGTAAAAAAAATAAATGTGTATCAGGGCTGTCAGAACTAAGTGTGTACTTCACCCACTCCTTTTTCAGACTTGTTAATATTATGATTTGATTATGCCATATTATTGTTCTATTATTATTTTCTTTTGTTTTTATACTTTTTCTCTTTCATTTGTTTGCAATAAATTCAATTCGTGTGAATGTAAAGAGATCAATCTGTGGAATGAACACGTTCATGTTTAACGCATTAACTAATGAACAACAGAGTTTTTACTCATGAGATGGTAAAAGTTCAACCTCACAAACACAAACTCCTCTTTGGGGTTGTGGCTCAGAACGTTTGAGAACCGCTGGTCTAGAACTTCTAGAGCTTCATTCGTTATACTTGAGCCGCTGCAGATAAAGAATCAGCTGCTTCTGAGGAGGTCGGGGAGGACCTTCATGGGATGATCCAAAACAAAGTCAGGAGCACGTGGCACAGATCTCCAGCACAGACTGTACCATGCTGCTTCCACAGACACACCTCAGGCAGATGGAAACACCTCTGCACACTTCAGATTAAGTTTAAACTGGTTCTATTCTGTCTGTGTGACCTCCTTCAGTGGTGAGTTTTGGACCTGCTGAGCTTCTGTCAAAACACACGACATGACTTGAACATGAAGGTTACAGTTAGTGAAGCGTACCGGTGCAGATGTGTTGGTTCTGGAGCTGGTTTCACGCCCAGAGTTGCTCCTTCTGTTGCACAAAACATCCTCAGTGAAGATTTAGCTTCCACTCTGAAGTTTTTCTGTAACTAGTTTACATCGAGGGTGAAGTCGGTAGTCAGTCTGCTAACGGACTAAAGAGACTTTTTATGAAGGCAGTCTGACTTTAAAGCTGCAGCAGAGGAATGTGTAGTGTTACAGCAACAAAGGACGGTGCTGCTGAGGCAACATGAGCAAGAAAACAGGAGTATTAGGAAGCAGAAGAGAGGACACGAGTGGTTGCACATGTTTCATACAGGACATATGGATTACTGCTGATACGGCTCAGAGTTCTTCTGTATCTTCTATACATGATGAGACACATTTAAAAATAGAACTGAATTCTTTTTACCTTCATATAAAGTCCAATAGCAAACATCAGCACATATTATCATGTCACATGATGGAGGCTCTGAATAAACTGGACTGTTGTAAACAAAACGAGGTTCAACATGTATGGCTGAACCTTAGCATGAACCATACCTGATTATCTGGAGCCGTTTCATAGAACATCTTTTAAATGATCATAGTTTGCACACTACAAAAGAGACGGGCTTGGCTTTATGCTGACCAGAGGACCCACCTACCTCCTTTCTCTTTCCACTAACGTCCTGTTTGTCCTGCAGAAGAAGAGCCCAGCGACGCCGGCCGAGTACAAGAAGACAGACGAGCCTCAACCTGATGTGAAGGAGGAAGAAGAGGACGAGGAGGAGGAGGAGGAGGAGGCGGCGAAGGCTGAAGAGGCCGAGAAGAGCGCGCCAGGTTGCTGCCACGTCTAGATCTCAGCTCTTTATGGCTTCCTTTGTGTCTCTGCGGTTTGTAACCGTCGGTCTGCTTCAAACTTTCAGTTACAAAGGAGAAGAGCGACGGAGAGGAAAGTCCTGCAGAGAAAGAGGAAGACGAAGCAGTGGAGGAGGAGGAAGAGAAGGAGGCCACAGCCGACGAGGTGAGGAGAAACCCTCTCAGCTTCTTCATTATCAGAACAGAGTCACTCCTGAGCTTCTCTCACAACTTTGATTTCAGTTTATCAGCGACTTCTCTGAGTTTTATCGTTGCAGTTTACATATCTGGAGGTGACCAGATCCTCTTTGTTGGCGCTGAAGTCCATCCATCTTAGTTTTTTACCTTGATGAAACAGAACAAAGCTTTAATATCTCCAGAAAAGATCATGTTCTAAATGTTTATGTGCTTTTCCTTCAGTTATCAACAGAATATCTAAAAACCTTTTACACAACTTCCTTTCCAAGAAATGTGTACAAACTCAGCATCAGTTCAGTCTTTCTGTCTGCAGTGATGCACGATAAATACATGGAAAACATGTTCTGATGTCAGTGTAGGACCAACGTAGGATGTACATTAATTGCAGGAAAAATGTCGGCCTTAACCAGCTGTCAATGTGGCTAGAACCTTCTACAAATGCAGGTCACCATTAAAATGTAGGCTCTGACTGACCATCAGTGTGCAGACTAAAACCTCCCATAACGTCATGACATGTTGACTTGGTCCTGCTGTAGGTGGAGCAGAAATGTACGCTGTAAGATAAATGTGGACTATAATTTACTATGAATGTCAGCTAGGATCTACTGTAGCAGCCTTTGACCTTCCATAACTAAAGATAAATAAGTTTTTCATATAACTACTATACCTGCAGGATAAATGTAGTTTAAAGCCAACCGTAGATGAAGCTGTGACCTCCTATGACTGTAGCAGTCCATCACCAGCTGGAGCTGCTGGCTAAACATCAGCTTTTGACTACTAAACATTTTGGCTGCAGGTTCAATGTAGGCTATAAACTACTACAAATGTAGGCTTCACTGAACTGGATGTAAGAACATTGACTCACTGTAAACATGCCTTCAGGGTTTTACTGGTTCTTCAAGGAGAGGTTTAAAACCGTGAAGTTGTTCCTGAGGACAGCGTGTTGCTGATTTAACCTTGTACAGAATCCTTGAAGACTTCATTCCATTCAGAATTCAGGAGCTGTGATTTGTTTTCCTCCAGAAGCTGGACGAGGACGTTCTGCGGAGATCTCCCAGGAACAGGAAGGTCAGAAGGGACTGATATGTGAATCCACAGCCCTGACCTCCTCACCTCCCTGACCCCCACCTCAAACATCTCCCCTCTCCTCCTCCTCCTCCTCCTCCGTGTCCTTCTCCTCCTCTATGCCGAGGCGACGAAGCCCCAATTCAGTTGAAGCAGCGAAGCCGAAAGGAAACTAATCAGGATCTCTGATGTGGACGCCTGACGACGACGACGATGATGATGATGATGATGATGATGATAATGATTCCAGTACAACAGGACTGAGTTAGCGTGATTTAGAGGATTTTTGTTTTTGAAAGAGATTACCTTCCTGCATCATTCCTTAACAACACCTGAGCAGACTCGAACCTGCTGCCCGCCCAACCGCCACCCTGAGTTAGCAGCTGCCTAATTAGCCTTTTAGCAATGTGATGATAGTCTGTTGGGAGATGATTTGGCTGTTGGTGCACATGATTTGAGGTAGCCTGCCATGAGTTTTATTAGCCTACCAGCAGCCAGATTATTTAGCCACCGTCTGTCAGGTTTGTCCTGCAAATTAACTTGCAACAAGTCTTGCTAAACAGGTTTGTTTGCTGTCCACATGTAGTACAAGTAGCTCAGCAGCAGCCATGTATAACGAGGCTAGCAGCATTCACTAAAAGTCCAGCTAACAAGACTACTAAATAAGTTTCTAATTAGCCCCTGGAGAGAAATATGGTTACCAACAACTGAAAATGTGAATTAGCCTGCCTGCTAATTAGCCTAGTAACACTATCAGCGGTCAAGACTTGCCATAAAGCAACTTGTCAAAAATCTTAATAGCCAATGGACATGCAGTTAATGGTCACAAACGGTGAAGGAAGGAAAACCAAAAGTCTTTCTCATGAGCCTGTTTAAATAGCCAATAAATAAGTTAACTAGCTAGAGACCATTTGGCTAGCAACAGTTTACAATGTGAATTAGCCAGGTAATAAGCCCAATGACACTATCAGGGTCCTGCTACGTAGCCTACCGATTGAACGCTAACTGGGCTAACAGTCAGGCTAACCTTGCAGCCAGTTAAGGAAGTGAAACTAAAAGTGTTCCTAATGAGCCTCTTTAGCTAGCCCATGAGCAGTTAGCTAGTATGATAGCTAGGTACGCTAGCTACCAGTATGAAGTGACAGTCTTCCTGCTTTGGCTAGTAACAGTCTGCCAGCTAGCGCACTATGATGATGCTAATTAATGTTTTTTAGCTTTATGGGAGTGTGAAAATTACCACTTAAGGTGATCTTGTGATGAAGATGTTTTAACAGAAGTTGCTTATTATCCAGCTAATTATTGCTGTTAAAGGTAGCCTGCTTTCATCCCCATTTGGACGACAAACAAACTGCTAATTAGCTGTTTGTTAACTGTTAGAACTTAACAGCACCTAGCTAATTAGCTTGCAAAGAAGCTACCAACTGCCGTGTCAACTAAAATGCTTATTCACAAGCTAAGGGTTGATTTATTAGCCTTTTTTGTGTCTGGAAATGAGTCTACCTGCAGTCAGGATGACGCTACCAGAAGTCAAGGAGATGAGCTAACAAACGGACTGCTAATTTGCCTGCTTATTAGTTCATCAGCAATTTGGCTGCTGGTATTGCTATTAAAATTAGCAAACAGGCTGCAAGTGGCATCACAAATGGTGGTAACTTACTTAACAACTAGCTAGGAAACTGCTGCTTTGTAAGCAAACCTGTTAATTCACAAGCTAACAAATGATCTGGCTGCTTGTAGCGACTACAAACAGGCTGCTAACAACTAGCTACTAACAGCCCTAGAGTTTATAAATTAGCCTGCTAGCTGCCTGAAGTAACCCAGATCTTAGAGGTTTGCCCGAGTTGCACCGAGCTGATATTTAAAATAATGAACTGGGAACACTCCGACTTTCTCTTCCCTTTTTCATCTTTTTATTTCTCGTGATATAAAAATAAATAAATGTGTTTGTTCTGAAGCAGTTAGCTGCATGTTAGCTCCACTGAAAACAGTCAGACGAGTCTCCTCAGTGTTTATTTCAGTGTCCTGATGGCAGCAGATGATGTTTAGAGGTCGACAGCCTGAACCGATCCGAGCTTCGAGCGTGTTGTACTTCAGATCCCTGCGATGTTTGTTGTTTTGTTGTTTGTCTGAACTTTGTGGTTTAGATGCAGTCGATCGATGCTGTCAGATTAGTAAAGTGTCGGTGCTGACCAGCAGCAGCAGCAGCAGCAGCAGATGACTTCTGACACTAAAACCTCTTCACACACTCGCCTCTCTGCTTCATGTTTGTGTAGACCTGACTCTTTGGTGTTGTCTTTGAGATTTCAGTCCAGACACGACGGCTGCTGCTCAGCTCCTCCTGTACGTTTAAACTTCAGTGACAAAACCTGCCTCCTTCAGCCACCATCTCATCTTCACAGTGACATTTTACAATAAAAGTCTTCCTGCCAACACACTGGATGGTCTCGTAGAAAGTCCAAAACCCTCTGAACTCCGAGCAGCTTCTGTCTCGTTTTTCACTTCAGTATAAAATCCTGCATCTCAGTGGAAACAGCATGACACAGTTACAGGACCAGAAAATACTTTACTTTTAATATCCTACAGGTTGTACTGACGCTAACAAACAGTCAATAAAAGGAGGCTCCACGCGCTACAGATACTTCACTATTTACACTTTTATTGTCTGCATTTCGCTTGAAGAAGCGCAGATTTTTGTTTGTTTTTTCGTGTCCGGTTAAAGAAAACAGTTTGAAATGAATTTTAAAATGCCGTCAGTAGAACATAATGCTTTAGATGAAACGTCACAATTTTAGGCTGAGATTTAGTTAAACTTTCCCAACAACGTCACGTGAAAATGTTCCAGGATTGTCAGAAAGTCCAGATTCTGTTTTGTTAAAAGATGCCTTTCAAACTGGGCAGCAGGTGTTTGAGGTTCAGAGGGTTGATGAGACCTTTAGACCCTCGGAGTCGTCCCTCTTGTGGGGAGTAAAAAAAAAAATTGCACTAGAGGGAAAACCACCTGTTAACCTCACACCTGTCCACCTCTGCCAATCACAGATGACCTCCTTCGCAAAATCTAGTTTTGTCTTGTGTTTTAAATTCGTGTCTGACTAGAGGATCTCCACTCAAGGTGCACGAGGAGCTTCTTGCTCACATTTTCTGGGCTTTTAACCACCTCTCGGGGGCTTCATCGTGCTAAGTTGTGCTAAAAGACCCTCAGATAGCAATCTGCTGATGAAGACCTGGAGCTGTGGCTGAAAGTGCTGGCAAAGAAAAACGTAAGAGGACCTTGAGTTGGATGTCTTCATGTCATGTGCAGTTGGGGTTAGTTAGCGGCTCCCTCCTGTGGCCACTGGTGTCACCAAACTCATCTGAAACCTGAAGGATTCCAGCTTGTGTGTCTGTTCTCACCATAGGTCACGTTACCCAGAAACAGCTGCTGGTTGGTTCTGTTGGTCCTGGTCCTGATTATTTCACGTGTTGGATGGACTCGGGTCACAGACAGCTGACCAGAGTTGGTGTGTGTATGTTTAGAATATATAAAAATCAGTAGATGAATCAAACCGTGTGACATTCAGGAGAAGTTTAATCCAATAATCCATATTAAAACTAAAACTATCATGACTCACATGTTCAATACGTATTTTTATTTTTAACACTTGTTTGAGCTGAAACTATAAATCAATTAGATGAGAGGCAGAAAAATGTATTATTTAACCAAAAAGACCTCAAAACCTCATTTTGAGCGTCTTAATTTTGGGTATTTGCTGTTTTTTGACTTATGTGATAATAAATTAATAATTTTTGCGTTTTTTTTATATGAGTTTTCTTTGCTTTTTTTTTTTTTTTTTGATGTAACAGCCAAACAATTCATTTAACAATGTAGAATATATGATCTGGATTGGCTTGTCCCACCGGAGAGCTCAGCTGTGATTGGCTGATGAGATTTGACAGGATCAGACCTTTATTGAAACTGCTTCCTTGATGTTTGGGTGAAGTCTTGGTTGTTTGCTTCAGCCTGAAGCAGCAGCAGCAGCGTTGCCCTCTTCATCCTCCTCTTCCTCCTACTGTCATCTGATTGGCTCGTCCGGCTGAAGCTGCCTCGCTCACAGACTGTAGACTGAACACTGTATCTGCTGGTGAAACTTCTGTAACTTTTTATTTCTGTGTTTAAACTAACGTCCAGGTGACCGACACAATGAGCTTCAGCTCTGAATGAAATCCTGTGATGACGGAGCCCCGTGTGGGTCTCTGTGTGTTTCTGTGTGTGCGGACACATGGTCAACATTTGTTTTGATGAATTAAAAGAAAAAAGGCCAAATGGAAACAGAGGCTGTGCAGTGTTTTTATTAACCCCTCAAATTACAAACCACACATGTTCTCATCCCCTCATGGACGTGGCTCCTGGAGCTCATGTTTCTGCGCTCTGATGTTGATTCTGGAAGCTCTGTTCTGCATCAGCTGAAGAACAGCCAGGACACTTCTCACACCTGCTGCAAGAAAAGAGGAACATTCCAACTCTGCTCCTTCTCTTCTTATTCATAAATGCTTTTAAATCCTGCTGCCCTTTTTTGGGGGGCCACAAATAGCATTGTTTTCTGTTTTTTTGCGCATATATACAGAATACAGTGTTCACAGTGAAAGTCTCATACAGGCAATCAGGTATAAAAGGTTGAAAAAAACAACAACACACAAATAAGTGCCTTTGAATAATCTTTAATTCAAGTGATAAATTGATATTTTCATATTATTTGAAATCTGTTATATATATATTAGTTGTTTATGATTAATTACAAACTAAAATAATAAGATTTTGGGATACTGTTAAATTAGATTTCTAATCTTAAACATTCTATGTTTTATGTATTTTATTTAGGCTTTTTATTTAGATTTTAATACGTGTTTTTTTTTTTTTCAACCTTTGCGGTCACAAAAATAAAATTTGTATTGTTATGATTTATAATTTGAATAGCTTCATTAAGTTGTTTTATCGTGTTTAATTCTTTATATATTGGAGTCATTATTTAATGGGTTTTTATTTTATGTACTCATCTATTCATTATTTATATTTATTATTATTTTATTTGTTATTATTGATGTACGTACTCATTCAGTTTATTTCATTCTTTACTTCAGCTTCTTTATTTTTTTCTAATTTATTAATTTTATATTTAATCTATTGTTCATTCATTCATTCATTCATCTGTGTAATATTTTGTTGCGTCTCTTTTTTATAGTTTATTTTTCTTTTTTAAATTTTTTGTTACATTTATGTGTATTATGTGTATCCTTGTTTTGCTTGTTTATTTATTTATTTATTTTTAATTCCTCTTCCTAATATTTTTGCAACTTTTTTTAATTGGGCTACTAACAAAACGAGTGGGCTGTACCTGGGCTCTGATTGGGCTTCGTGATTGTCAGTCAAATCTGGCGACAGTGCCCGCTCTTGATTGGCTGTTGGTTCTTGTCAGTCATCCGTGAGGCGGGCACAGAGACATTCCTCCTGTGCTGATGGAAAAAAAGAGAAAGTTTCCAAGATGGCTGCGTAGCCCTGCCTGTTCGCTGGAAAACAATAGAAGCAGCACAGGGGAACAGACTTAGTCCGTTCATACCGACGAAACCACTCTCACACCCCGCATATCCCGACTCGGGTTCGTCCGGGAGGAGGATTATCCGCGGCGGCGACTCGGGAGAAATATAATCAAAGTATAATGATGTATTTAAACGTTTCAGGCTAGCCAACCCTGCTAGCCAGCCGTGCTAACGTTAGCCCGTCTATCCATAACACAGCAGCTAGCGGCTAACGGCTAATAGGAGGCGGAGGATCAGCTGTTTGCTACACAGATGCTGTAGGAAGAGCGGACGGCAACACTCTCACAGTAAGTGCATTTAAAAACTAAATAAGCTTTAAATATATGAGAAGTCTTGTACTGTGTAAAACTGTTGCATTAGGTTAAATATAAAATTTGTTAGCTGCCAATTTTTAGTGACGCTAACAGCTAGCTGCTGCTCGCTAACCGAGCTAACTCATCATACTTGAGCAAAATAAAGTTTCGGACAAGTTGTTGAGCCGTTAGGAGGCTCCCAGCGGAGCCGATAGCACCGGAACGGGGTTCAAATCAGAGGCTGATGCTGCCGAAGTCCCGGATAAACACATTTTAAAGGCAACTCATGGATTTAAAAAAAAAAGAAAAGAAAAGAAAAGAAAATTCGACGTTCCAACTTTGATTTACAGTGGAGGAATGTGCTAACTTCACTTAGCCCGAACATGAGTTGGTCTGATAGCGAAGCTGCTTCACTGAATGAATCTAAATGTAGTGTTAAAGCTTTAAATGGTTTGTTTTAACAGCAGCAGGCTTTGATTTGGTTAAATCTGCGGTTCTGATTTGGGGTTAAACTCCGGCTGATTGCGGCTCCAATAGCTCCGCTTCACACAGCAACTTAAACGAGCTGGTTCACCTGATGAGGCTTACAGCAGATATTTGGCTTTAAGTGAGTAAAATCAGGAGGCTGGATGGTTTTGCACCCAAAAACCTTAATTTTCCTCTCCGGCAGTGAGTGCCGCTGTGACTGAAGGCCATTAGCAAGACAAAGGTCGCCTCCATGGAGCCAGCACAGGAGTCTTTGTAAAGGGCGAGGGGGGGTGAAAAAGAGCCAGATTCAGCATTTTATGGACGAAACCTGAGCCGGGAATTTACTACAAGTCTTTATTGATGATGGCGGATTTTGTTACACCGCGACACAGCGCGGTGATGGAGCGGCTCCGCCGGAGGATCGAGCTCTTCCGGCAGCATCACAACAGCTGCGAGAGCCGCTACGAGAACGCGACGCTGGAGCGGCTGGAGCTGGAGAGGCAGCAGACCTTCGCCCTGCACCAGCGCTGCCTGCAGGCCAAAGCCAAGCGGTCCAACAAGCACCGGCAGCCCCAGCCCAGCGGCGACCAGGCAGGCCAGAGAGTGCCGGGCGGAGGAGGAGGAGGAGGAGGCGGCGGCGTGGAGCACGGGGAGAGCGGCGGGACGGCGGCGGAGCAGAGCCGGAACAGCACGCTGATAGCGGTGAGTGGGCACTGAACACACTGAACACAGGCTGGACGCTAGAGCACAAACACACTGAACACAGGCTGGATGTTAGAGCTCAAACACACTGAACACAGGCTGGATGTTAGAGCTCAAACACACTGAACACAGGCTGGACGCTAGAGCACAAACACACTGAACACAGGCTGGATGTTAGAGCTCAAACACACTGAACACAGGCTGGACGTTAGAGCTCAAACACACTGAACACAGGCTGGACGTTAGAGCACAAACACACTGAACACAGGCTGGAC